ATCAATCGATTTTTCATCTTTACCTGGTACCCTATTCCTAACCCAGGTATTGCTTACTACTTGGTCCCAAAATACATGAGCAGTGTTTTGAAGGTACCTGTGACCGAATACTAGTAATCTACGAATATCCGTTATTGCTAAAAACCATTTTTCATACCTACAAAGTAAGACAGAGCAAAGCGCTGAACGGTGAAGTCGTCCTTTGATTGGCAGACTGATATCTCGCCTACGCCATAAATGACATAAGTTGGTGATAGCCAATCAAGCCTTAGGAGTCCATGCAGAGATTTTGTTAGACACTAGACCATAATGACTGATGACCCCCGAATCCCTGGTACGGCCGAGAGTGGGGAGAGTCCGCTCTCCCTCTCGAAATACTCTCACACGGCCACGCGTATACAGCCTCTGCCAGGGAAGTCCTACTCATTGCCTTCACGTGGCGGGGGTGTTGTTTACGAAAATGAGAGGACGAAAAGCGAATGTCCGGCGCTTTAACCGGATCCCAAACCAATGGTGCACATGGGCACCAGTATCCTGCGGGAACAAATGGCGTATAAACCAATGGTTGGTCACCGGCTACCATGAGACTGCATCTCCTTACGATGCTCCACTGCCTTGTGGGTTAGACCTTTAGGTCAGAGGCTCGGGGTGTGGCTCCCTAAGATAACCACCTGCTTCGGTCTGGGCACCCGGGCAGTATCACAGCCCACACACAAATATGATGAACTGCCTATAATTATGGAAACTACTTTACTTGCTTCAACTAACAATCAAATTATTATTGTTAGTATTATTATTATTATTATTATTATTATTATTATTATTTACCACATTATTCACCCTCTTTTATACTTATACAGCGGCTCGTCTTTGGTGGAAATTCGACTGTATCTAAACGTTCTCGAGTCACTGTCCGGTTGAAAATTGTATGTTACCACCGAATATGAGTACTGAAGCAGTCTTTCTGAAACCACGTGCACCATTCAAACTGGCTGCCTTCAACGTTCGCACATTTATGCAGGTCGGACAACAGATAGGGCTGGCTATGTCTTTGGAAAGTCTTAATATTGATGTTTGTTGTCTATCCGAGACCCGTATTCAAGACTCTGGCGAAGTACTACAAATTCGATCTCCATCTGTCGCTTCGAAAAGCTTGTTTTACGTGCGCTTATCCGGGGACCCTGTGGCATCTTCGTCTGGTCTTGCTGGCGTTGGTGTCGCACTAAGCGCTAGAGCTGAGGCAGCACTAGTCGATTGGATCCCCATTAACAGTCGGTTATGTGCTGTTAGATTAGAAAGTTCCATCAAAGTGAGAAGAAATCGGCGTGAGAAACGATGTCTTTTCGTCATCTCCGCCTATGCCCCGACAGATTGCAGCCCGGATGCAATCAAGGATGAGTTTTACCACCAGTTATCTGTTCTCCAGAAAGTGCGTTCGACAGATATTGTAGTACTAGCCGGAGACTTGAATGCTCAGGTCGGGCGTCTAGGCACAGAAGAGAGTCGTTTAGGTGGCCGATGGGGACTCGTTGGTCGCAGGTCAGATAACGGGGACCGTCTACTGCAACTTTGCACAGACCACAACCTGTTTCTGGCTAGCACTAACTTTCGGCACAGTCATCGCCGATGTGCCACCTGGCGTCCTCCCTCTGCATCTCAAGCCTGGACTCAGATTGATCACATCGCGATCAGCTACCGCTGGCGTGGTTGTGTACAAGACTGCCGCTCCTTTTGGAGTACCTATCTGGACTCTGACCATGCCTTGGTCTGCGCCAATCTTACCTTACTTTTCAGTGGACAACGAAGTGACCGCCATCAACGGATTGATGTTAGCAAGCTGGTTGCAACTTCTGTTGCAAGTAAGTATCGAATCGAGCTAGCCTCTAGGCTAGCTACCATTCCACCGAAAAGTATAGATGAGCATTGGTTGCAATTGCATGACGCCATGAAAATGGCGGGTACAGTCAGTTGTGGGTTTGCGAAACGTCCCGCTTATAAGCACTGGGTTTCTGCAGGTTCCTTACAACTCATTGAAGCCCGTCGGTCTACTCCGGGTGACCGTGAGTTTGACCATAAACGAAGGATGTTACGTAAGGAAATTGGGCAAAGCTTGCGTAAGGACCGAGAAGCCTGGTGGTCGAAGCGTGCTAATGAGCTGGAAGCAGCAGCTGCATCTGGTAATTACCGGAAGCTCTTCCAGCTCATCCGAGCCACTGGCAGCAAGAAGTCTGGTGTGAGTGAAACAATCTGCGAGGATGATGGGATGCCAATCACTAACATCCATCGACGTCTTGGACGATGGGCAGAATTTTTCGAAGGGCAGTTCAACTGGCCTGCTGCTCCGGCAACATCGGTCAGACTGTCCTGCCCTCCATGGCCGGTGACGACTGATCCACCAAATGAGGAGGAAGTCCGCAAGGAACTCCAACTCTTGAAGCGTTACAAATCACCTGGCCCAGATGACTTACCTCCGGCTCTTTTTAAAGATGGTGGTGACTTTTTGACTAAGGAATTGACGACGTTGTTTACAAAGGTTTGGGAACTAGAGAGTGTACCAACGTCATGGAATGAGTCGATAGTTGTCCCTATCTTTAAAAAGGGTTCACGTCGTTCCTGTAACAACTATCGGGGGATAAGTCTACTTCCGATTGCGTCCAAGCTATTGGCTTCCGTCATACTTCGTAGGTTGTTCAAAACCCGAGAAAGATTGACTCGCGAGGAGCAGGCTGGGTTTCGTTCTGGTCGAGGATGTATTGATCATATCTTCACCCTCCGCCAAATGTTAGAACACCGCCATACTTATCAAAGGCCAACAATCGTAGTGTTTCTTGACATCAGGGCTGCCTTCGATTCGTTGGACAGGACTGTTCTCTGGGATTGTCTATTGAAGAAGGGTGTGCCTGAGAAGTTTATTAACATCCTAAAAGCCCTATATACAAACACCTCAGGCAGAGTGAGGGCATACAACCACCTCTCTCCATTGTTCCATTCGAGCAGTGGGGTTAGGCAGGGTTGCCCAATCTCACCATTCCTCTTCAACTTTGCCATCGATGACATTCTGGAAACAGCTCTGATGAATGTAAGTAATGGTGGTGTGGATCTGTTGCCTGGAGAAAGACTTCTCGACCTTGAGTATGCGGACGATATTGTCTTACTGTGCGATAATGCCCAAGGCATGCAATCCGCACTTAATCAGTTGGCAATCAGTGTCCGTAGGTATGGTATGTGCTTTGCACCTTCGAAGTGCAAAGTACTTCTACAAGACTGGCAGGATTCTAATCCTGTACTCACCCTGGATGGTGAGCAGATAGACGTAGTCGAGAAGTTCGTGTATCTGGGTAGCTGCATAAGTGCTGGTGGGGGTGTGAGTGATGAGATCAATGCACGTATAGTGAAAGCCAGAGCGGCTTATGCCAATCTGGGCCACCTTTGGCGCCTTCGTGATGTTAGTCTGGCTGTAAAAGGTCGGATCTACAACGCGTCGGTGAGAGCAGTTTTGCTCTATGCTTGTGAAACCTGGCCTCTCCGAGTTGAGGACGTTAGACGACTCTCTGTGTTCGATCATCGCTGTCTCCGAAGGATTGCTGACATTCAGTGGCAACACCATGTCAGTAATGCAGAGGTTCGGCATCGTGTGTTCGGGCACAGAGATGATAATCAATCGGTGTCACCATCTTGAAACAACGACTTCGGTGGCTTGGACATGTTCTACGAATGTCGTCCCAGAGAATTCCACGTCGTGCATTATTTGCCGACTCTGGGACTGGTTGGAAAAAGAGGAGAGGTGGTCAGTGCATGACATGGTGTCATGGTATGAAAGAAAGCTGCAAAGGACTGGCTTCTGTCGGTCCTTCACGGCTCCCTGGTTGGAGTCCGAGAGATGGTGCAACACAGTGGCTAGAGACGTTATCAGATATGGCCCAGAATAGAAGCCAGTGGCGATCCTACTGTAACCTTCTTTTACTTTCTTCATAAAAAGTGGTTGTGTCTACCTTACCTGAAAGATTTCTTCCGATTGTACCTTTCCGTTCCCTCATTACTACCACACTACCTTACACCAATCTCTTCGTTATTGTTCTCTTTTTTTTCTTGCGCTCTTTACCTTTTTTTCTCTTCGATTTCTCATTGTTTTGTGTGGCGCTCTCTTGTTCCAATATTTATGTGTTCAAATAAATAAATAAATAAATAAATAAATGACTGATGGAAATCCCGAGATAACCAAACCAGTCAATGTGTCCAACAACTTCAATCTCTATCGTTAACTCAGGAGCTAATGCAAACCAATTCTGAAGCAAAATTTTGCATTTAGAAAAAGTGATAAAAAGACTGCATTTTGTAGGCGGCTTTACCAAACAGAATTATATCATCTGCATATTTTAAATCATTAGGTAATTCAACCCCTGAACAGTCAAACGATGAGTGTCTTTAAAATTTAGTCAATGATGAGAACCCCAACTTCGATTTCCGACCCCACCTCCTAACTTTGAATCTTAGCCTCAATTTATCACACTAAGTTATAACCTTCCGACGACACCAATCAGTAAGTGGATTTTCTTAAGGTCACTCTGGCGTCACCAAAAGATCGTTCATAATTTAGTCTCACTGAAAAATAGATAAGACTAAATAACAAAACTGATTGAACAAGTATATAAGTGGACGAAAAAAACATGGAACAATTGTTTAAAGTTCAAAAGAAAGATATTATAACTATTGTGGTAAATTTTGATCACAACATGGGATAGTCAACACTATACTGATTTTAGTTATGATTTTTGGTTCCCTATACGGCCGGAGATATTTATATCAGTGACCACAACCAATACCGAGTCTCAATTGCATAAAAACCAAAGAATAATCTCTTGACTGCGCGATAAGATAGGGAATTATTTTGGCCAGTGAAATCGACCAAGTGTTAAAGCATGTTTTTTTGGGGAAGTAATACTTTAAATCAATACTTGCCATGAGAACGAGTTGGAATTTGTAAACGTTAGATTACTTACCTTTGTCGAGTTCATCGCAATTAGATGTCGTATAAACAGAATTTAAAACTTCTTCGGCTGAATTCATATATTCCTACAACATATATGAAGCAGATAAATGGACATACAATTTCGAATTCATCTCTATATGGCAAGTATCCAAGTGACTTCTGATGATCTAATCGTAAATCACATGGGAGATCGTTTTCAACTTCAGAATCGAAAAGTTTGTTTGGGTAAGTGTGTTCCTTAACAAGAGGAAACGGGCAAGGTGAACACATGAGTTCCTTCATGATTCCTGACATATAGAACTTGTCATAATGATCTCGACAGTCTGTGGAGCTATGTGACTGTAGTTGAGCGGATATTTCATCCCTAAGATAATATAAGTGATTAACCAAACACTTACCAGTTACCATAACCATAAGTATCCAGAGCGTCTAATAGTTTTAATTCTTCTGAAAGCAACCAATGATTCTCAGCGAGATAATAATCTTCAGAACGCTAAAGTCTGTGAGTTTCAATACAATCAAATATACCTTTATAATATATTTGTGAATCTTTTTATGTTTTCCACCCTCAACCCCACATGCAAAGCACTATCATAAAGGTAAAATATTATACTCAGAAATATACTTTCACACATATCTTAATCAATGTACATTCAGCGCACACAAAAGAGAAGCCACTGATCTTCTCTAAGCAGTAGCAACATTTTGACAACTTGCGAAACATAGTAACATCAAGGTTGTTTTTCGCGCTTGTTGCTATCACGTATCTGAATTACAGATTTCGATCTTCAGTCACCAGCGGAAAGGATAAAGTGTCAATTGACTTACATTATTGCTCACAAATATGTAGCACTGTGAATATCCCAAATCCATTTGAATGCATCGACAGGTGCTGATATTTGTGGAGACAGCCACAACAAACTTATTTCGTAACTTTTTGCCTTTCTTCTGTTAATTTCCATAATTTGTACAATTATTACAAATGAATGTAAAAGTTGTTTACAACTGCATGACCTTGAATACTTCCTTTTTGAATCCCTCAAAGCATGACACTGATGATCGCTCGTAAATACACTGCTACACACACACACCTCTTGTTATCGAATGCCAGTTGTTACGATAACTGAACCCTAAAATATTTCTTAAAGCACAAGATCAAAGATTCTAGCAGAATAGCATGAATTCATTTTAGTTCGTTGGTTCTCGTCAGCTGCTTACAACCTGTGGTATTTAAAGTCATAATTACATAATGGGTTTAGTTAGAAGTTATGTTGAAAACATATTGTTTTAGTACAGCAAGGGTGAGAAAAATAATTTAACAGACCGATTATTGTAAATATACACCTTATGTGAAGGAACATTCTACAACATTGATTGCGACAACAGTTCAGATGGCCAGAAACAAGTGATTACATATTGAAGAAATATTGATAGAAATAAAATGAGTAAGGTTCAATTAATAAAATAAGAGTATTAATTTGGAAGATAGTTGAAATAAAATTCAATGATGTAACAAATGTGAGAAAGAGTTTAAACAAAAAGAAAAGAAATTTTAATATGCAGCGAAGGAATATTTGTCACCAAGGCAAGGAGAGACTAATAACCGTCTCCTTTCGAACACATAAGTCAGATTTTTGAGGCGTGATATCAACGGCTTTAGGAGACTGGAGTTTGGATGCTTACTTATCACCTAGAAAGAGCGTGAGGTACTATCATGATTTCCTGTATCAAGGTGATGTTTGGTAATTGCACTGGAAGAAGAATTGATGGGCGTGGAAAAATGCGTAAGAGACAACTCTTACTAGCAGAAGTTTGTTGACAAATATAAAGAGCTTAAAGAAAACAAGACGAAAGTAATTACGGTCAATAAAACACCAATACCTACAAATCTTAACTTCAAAGGTGATATTGTCGTAAACACAATCAGCAGGTGACTGAACACTGAGCTAGCCAAAACTTATCGTCCAGACGGACTTTTAATTCTGTATAGAACAGCATGTTCAATAACTCGAAAAAATGTTAACAAGCATTTCTTTCATGTTACCACCAACCGTATTTATAACTTTACGTGTACTTGCCAAAGCAGCTACATTGACCGAACAGAAAGGAGGGCATATCTTAGATTTTTGGAACATGTTATTCTCGACATTTATAGACCACAGCTATGTTTCTGTTATATACTACTCGGTACGAGAAACGAACTCCATTTGTATATGATTCGGTTTGGGTTTTGAACTTTCTTAGAATGTCTTCTCACGTGGCCAGTCCAAGATTGACGTGCCAGACGAGACATATTAATATCAAAATCATCGTTCAGTATACAGTAAGCCAACACTAAACGACCTCGTAAGCCACTAGAGGAAATTAACCTCTAGAAGTTACGTCTTTATTGATTGGCCATGACTCAGTATTTAGATGTAAATGAGTATAAGCGTGATGATAATAACAATATATTTCTGCATCAGCAGGTAAACTCCATTTTCACTATCATGATCTATAAATTACGACATTTGTTGGCCCACAACATACTTCCCAACTTATTAAGTTTATAGTTGTCATACAATAGACTCGTAGAGCGCTTGCTACAAACCACGACCTTGAGTAGACGCCTGCGTCAAGTTTGTTCCTGACGTCAGAAATTCCATGGCTGTGCCCTCAGTGCGAGATTATGGAGAAATAAAAAATAGAAACAGAATGGCAGCATGGCACTTGGATATTAACGTCAAACGTCGCTTAAAATTTTGTAGTAAAACAGACAGAGGTATAATAAATTAGAATAAATTCATATTATCTCATGTTAGAGTGAAATAAAGACAAAGGCTCCATATAAGAGAATGTAGTGATAAAGAAAAATGAGATGTGACGTTTAAAAAGTTGGAGTTAGCTCATATGAGGGGAGGGAAGTCAAGGTTTGCACAAGTAAAGCTGTTTATTTGGTGGAGTTTTGTTCTTTGAGCTGGATGGTTTGATCGTGGAGCTTTCATCGTTCTTCTGGACGACATCATCAGCACAAACTTCAGATAGAAGTGAAGTGTTCAAATTTTTCCATATGTGTTTCACAGCTTGTTCTGTACACCTCGATGTTGATTGGTTTTTATTGACCTTAAATTTATCATTGTTTACTTCTTTGTTTTGGTTGTGTCTCCCATTGGTTTGATTTTTGTTCCTATATTTATGCATGATTTTCCTGATGGTTGATAAATTGGATTGATTTCAATATGTTTGTTGATTGCTGATTGACCTGAATGCCAGGCTTCTAAAAACTCCCTGGTGTTTTTGGAGTTTCCTCTGTCTAACATTTCTACATTTTTCCAATCGAATGAGTGTTCGTAGTTATCCACGTGTATTGATATAAGTGAGGAGATATCATGGCGTTTGACTGCTAATTGATGTTCATGTAGGCGAAGGTGGAGGGAGCGACCGCTTTGTTCGATGTAGTGTTTGTCGCAGTTGGTACAATTTATTTTGTAGATGATGTTTGATTTGTTTTCCTTTGTTATTTCATCTTTTGGTTTGCATAGGAGTGATTGTAGTGATTTTGTCGATTTGTGTGCCACACCTATCTCGAAGGTTTTCAGCAGTCTCGTTGTGGTTTCTGATATTCCTTGTATGTGTAGAATTATGGTCTACTAATATATTAATACTGCTCTAATAATAGACCTAATCCTAAAATTGTAGATTTGTCATGATATAACTGCCTAATCTATAAGATCTTACGTGGAAGTCACATCATCGACTACACCAACTCACTGTATCGTATCAATTACCAATACATGATGTAGAACAAGGTTAGGCTATAGAAGGAACAATATATTTGATATGAATAAAAGAAATAAGGTAATATTCAGAGGGACCAAGCCTGCATGGTCGAGCCATGCCATCCGATCAACTCCAGTCCATTCAATTCCTTGTTCGCGCCTTCTCCATCGTTAGGTATTTATCCGCGTTAAATATTGAATATCTATTTTTTTAGTAGTCTCGTGTTCACAGCTTTGTGGATTGTGTGGCTATTGTCCAATGCCACTACATATGTACGGTAGGGTGATCCTTTTGTTGATTTTTGTGATTGACTTGTGTTCTGATGCTGCGTGCGGTTGGTGTTTTATGATGTTGATTGGGTAGTCGCCCTTTTGCAATATGTCCTTCAGGTATTTCTATTCATTTTTCGTGCTGCCAGTGTGCTGCAGTATGTCCTCACCCTCTTGAACAATGTGTGTACGCAGTTGATTTTGTGAGCTCTAGGATTGTTGCTGTTGTAGTTGAGAATTTGATATTTATGAGTCGGTTTCTTATATACTTGACTTTCCAGTTTTCAGGTGTCGGTTCTAGTGATCAGTATGTCCAAGGATGCTAGTTGACCCAGGAAAAGGAGTCAAACGACCGACCAATAAATTGTACCAACTGCGACAAACACTACATCGAACAAAGCGGTCGCTCCCTCCACCTTCGCCTACATGAACATCAATTAGCAGTCAAACGCCATGATATCTCCTCACTTATATCAATACACGTGGATAACTACGAACACTCATTCGATTGGAAAAATGTAGAAATGTTAGACAGAGGAAACTCCAAAAACACCAGGGAGTTTTTAGAAGCCTGGCATTCAGGTCAATCAGCAATCAACAAACATATTGAAATCAATCCAATTTATCAACCATCAGGAAAATCATGCATAAATATAGGAACAAAAATCAAACCAATGGGAGACACAACCAAAACAAAGAAGTAAACAATGATAAATTTAAGGTCAATAAAAACCAATCAACATCGAGGTGTACAGAACAAGCTGTGAAACACATATGGAAAAATTTGAACACTTCACTTCTATCTGAAGTTTGTGCTGATGATGTCGTCCAGAAGAACGATGAAAGCTCCACGATCAAACCATCCAGCTCAAAGAACAAAACTCCACCAAATAAACAGCTTTACTTGTGCAAACCTTGACTTCCCTCCCCTCATATGAGCTAACTCCAACTTTTTAAACGTCACATCTCATTTTTCTTTATCACTACATTCTCTTATATGGAGCCTTTGTCTTTATTTCACTCTAACATGAGATAATATGAATTTATTCTAATTTATTATACCTCTGTCTGTTTTACTACAAAATTTTAAGCGACGTTTGACGTTAATATCCAAGTGCCATGCTGCCATTCTGTTTCTATTTTTTATTTCTCCATAATCTCGCACTGAGGGCACAGCCATGGAATTTCTGACGTCAGGAACAAACTTGACGCAGGCGTCTACTCAAGGTCGTGGTTTGTAGCAAGCGCTCTACGAGTCTATTGTATGACAACTATAAACTTAATAAGTTGGGAAGTATGTTGTGGGCCAACAAATGTCGTAATTTATAGATCATGATAGTGAAAATGGAGTTTACCTGCTGATGCAGAAATATATTGTTATTATCATCACGCTTATACTCATTTACATCTAAATACTGAGTCATGGCCAATCAATAAAGACGTAACTTCTAGAGGTTAATTTCCTCTAGTGGCTTACGAGGTCGTTTAGTGTTGGCTTACTGTATACTGAACGATGATTTTGATATTAATATGTCTCGTCTGGCACGTCAATCTTGGACTGGCCACGTGAGAAGACATTCTAAGAAAGTTCAAAACCCAAACCGAATCATATACAAATGGAGTTCGTTTCTCGTACCGAGTAGTATATAACAGAAACATAGCTGTGGTCTATAAATGTCGAGAATAACATGTTCCA